CCCAACCACGTGTTCACAAGCACCAGGCAGTCGCTGAGGAGACGGTGTTTGGCAGTGGTGAATGCGCGGGGCGGCCATACACGATACTGAACTGAGAAATTTTGCATTTTTATTCTTGTGACTTGACATTCTGTATACCCATGTTTTGAAACGGCGGTGTAGCCTAATGGAACTGATTATGGCACTGTCAGTGTATCGAGTACATCACACAGATCTCAGCAATGAAATAATAACAATTTAACCATCTTATCATCTCTTGTTATTTTAAAGTGCCCTGAAGAAAGAATGTGAAGTTTCTTTTTTGACTCAGTATATATTAAGACAACTCATAGCGTGAAATTGTAATTCGAGGAAATAGGTTTGCTGTCTCAGTCAATTCCTGTTGCCATGACACTGGGGTAAAGGTGCGCTACCACGGAGGAAATGTTCTATGTTGTAAGTTGTGTAAGGATGTACATTTTGTGTGTTTGTATCCCCGGAGATTGGTCTGTAAGACACGAATAGGGACGAATACAGTTCACCAGCAATAAATGATGTCAAACACTGGATTGTCTGGCCCTGATACGATTATATACAGACTGTCGTCATCCACCTGGAATATTTCTGAGTGCGCCGTTAAACAATAAACAAACAAATAAAATACTGCCCAACACGTCCCAATCGGAATATCCATATTACGCTTTGTAGATCTGATTTCAATTATGCTTTGATATAATAGTCTAAGATGCTTCGCTTAAGGATCAAAATTTTGGTTTGCAGATGCTTCAATCCTCTGCTAACATCACTTGTGGAAACATTAGTTTAACCGTTTCGACCCACAATGTAAAAGTGACAGAACAAGGCTCGCTTACTAAACCTATGTCCAAAGTCCCACAATGCATCTAGGGAATGTCGCGTGACTTGTCAGCTACATCTGGATTTACTGTTCTAAGTTTACGTTGGTAGCCGAAATACGACGTTCACATTGCTCTATATGGTTTACAATAATCACAGATGAAATAACAATAATATAGAGAAGATATTTAACTCGAACGTAAACCGTCTCCAAAGTGTTTTTCATTTGTTTTCCAGGTGACGTGCGTCTTAATGTAGCTGGACATGACACGTGAAATAGAACAGCACGTCAGTTAGCCCTGAATGAGGATTGTTAATTTAGTTTTACCTACACCGTCGCTTTTCTGTTTGTTTTCTGACTGAATAATCGTCGGTTACATTAAATTTGGCAAGTCTCCTCTTGCTTTACTATAATAGTTCAGGGCAAAACTGTACTTTATTACGTTATACATAGAGGTATTGGAAACTGTATTTCTTATTTATAATGATACACTGTGAAGACAATATGTAATTACTTGACAATTACACAGCTATTTAAGGATTTTTATTTAGGAGATAAACATCATGTGCATTTGAAGCACAGGAATATATTTGGAACCTACGGCGTCAGCTGGAGGTTTCAAATGAAATATTCCCGTGCTTCAAATGCTCAATAACTCCAGGAACTTGGCTAACACGTGATGTTTATCGACATTGTGAACACAAAAGTAAACCAAAAGGTCCACACACGTTTTTGTGTCTGCATTCATTGACATCGAGTACGGGTGCAGCAGTGAAATGTCATCAGCCGGCCGTTTCGGCTGTCTCCCATGGTAGCATCTGGAACTGCTCATTTGTGACGTCATTCAGACTTTACGTCATAATATGATTTGCACGACGTCATCATATTGAGTGATCATAAAAAGATTACTCGATTTCAATATGTACATCCAGCGGTTTTATCAAAGTGTACCTTTTGTATTATATTTTGTGATATGTCTCTATTACTGTCAGTCTTCTTCTGTGTCAGTTTCAAATAGTTGCTTGTGGTGAATATATTTATTGAAAACTCCTTCGCGGTTTATAACTTGCAAGGGCTTGTCCCCGACCACTTCACTCTGTGTACATAATATGTTTAAGATAATCCACCCATCAGGTGGGGAGTCTGAGTTAGACGACCTGTATTAGCCTGGGCTTGGCGTAGGATGGGTTTTACCTTGCATATGTAAATATCACGGCAATATCACGGGTTCTACCCTCGATTTAAGATCCTAACATTGTACCCTGAGGTGGACTCTGGCAGACATTAAGTCGGCTGTAGATGAAATCTGGCAGACATTAAGTCGGCTGTAGATGAACTCAGGCAGACATTAATTCGGCTGTAGATGAACTCTGGCAGACATTAAGTCGGCTGCACATGAGCTCTGGCAGCCATTAAGTTGGCTGTAGATGAACTCAGGCAGACATTAAGTCGGCTGTAGATGAACTCTGGCAGCCATTAAGTCGGCTGTAGATGAACTCTGGCAGACATTAAGTCGGCTGCACATGAGCTCTGGCAGCCATTAAGTCGGCTGTAGATGAACTCAGGCAGACATTAAGTCGGCTGTAGATGAACTCAGGCAGACATTAAGTCGGCTGTAGATGAACTCAGGCAGACATTAAGTCGGCTGTAGATGAACTCAGGCAGCCATTAAGTCGGCTGTAGATGAACTCAGGCAGACATTAAGTCGGCTGTAGATGAACTCAGGCAGACATTAAGTCGGCTGTAGATGAACTCTGGCAGACATTAAGTCGGCTGCACATGAGCTCTGGCAGCCATTAAGTCGGCTGTAGATGAACTCAGGCAGACATTAAGTCGGCTGTAGATGAACTCAGGCAGACATTAAGTCGGCTGTAGATGAACCCTGGCAGACATTAAGTCGGCTGTAGATGAACTCAGGCAGCCATTAAGTCGGCTGTAGATGAACTCTGGCAGACATTAAGTCGGCTGCACATGAGCTCTGGCAGCCATTAAGTCGGCTGTAGATGAACTCAGGCAGACATTAAGTCGGCTGTAGATGAACTCTGGCAGCCATTAAGTCGGCTGTAGATGAACTCTGGCAGACATTAAGTCGGCTGCACATGAGCTCTGGCAGACATTAATTCGGCTGTAGATGAACTCAGGCAGACATTAAGTCGGCTGTAGATGAACTCAGGCAGACATTAAGTCGGCTGTAGATGAACTCTGGCAGCCATTAAGTCGGCTGCACATGAGCTCTGGCAGCCATTAAGTCGGCTGTAGATGGACTCTGGCAGATATTTAGTCGGCTGTAGATGGACTCAGGCAGACATGTCTTGTGTTGATTGACTTGTGTTGATTCAGCAGAATGTTGGTTTTAGCTATATCAAGGTTGCCAAATGTCGGCGGTAAGAACACATACATGTATTCCAATTGACAGAAAGATTTAGGCAAATGCACACACTGCAGTGGAACAGAAACACACGACCATTTCCAACTGCCCTACACAGTTCAAACAACACACACCCAACACTACCAACACTCCTAAGCTGATGAATAACACTCAAACCTTCTAAGTCTTAGCGATATTTAATCAAAACTGTCCGTCTATGTCGTATAACACCGGGGCGGTGGGGTAGCCTAGTGGTTAAAGCGTTCGCTCGTCACGCGGAAGACCTGGGTTCGATTCCCCACATGGGTACAATGTGTAAAGCCCATTACTGGTGTCCCCGCCGTGATATTGCTGGAATATTGCTAACCGCTTTTCAAAATCAAAATCAAACTCACTCACTCACTCACTCGTATAACCCCGTATAACCCCGTGTAACCAGTTTGTATTATTTACAAAATCACATAGAAATGACAGAAAAAGAAAAGGAAAACAAATTCCAAACGAAACCACTCCATACTTCCACTCTCCCCACCACTTCTGGCAAATGCAAAAATACAGACAACAATTTAGTTTGCCGTAACTTTCGTTCAAAATCACTCTCTATCGATCAAACAAAATACATATCATGTTGGAAAGCGCACGTAAAATCTCTAAATCATCACTTGGAATGACCTTCTCTATTCTGACGAAGATGCAAGCGTACACCCCTTCTCTATTCTGACGAAGATGCAAGCGTACACTCCGAACCGTCGTGTTATTCACAATAAAGAAGTTGACATTATATCGGGTGTCCCAAATAAAGTGAACCGGTTGTGACAAGTATTTTCTCAGCGACAGATAAACCGAATTCATTACAAATTTGCACAGAGTAACCCTAGGGCATCATCAACACGTCTACAAAATATCTAAGAGATTGGTTGCAAATTGTGCGAGTATTGTCAAATTCAAAACAGCATGTCAAAAAATGCAAAACTCACTTATTTCAGTCTTTGCTCAATGTTGCCTCCATCTTCCTCCACAACTAAACGAAGCCGTTTCATCCAAGCAGAAATACGTTTACGCATTTCCTTCACCGATATCTTCTCTCATGACAAAATTATCCTGCCTTTAACGCCTGCTCGGTCAATTTGTCTCTCACTCCTCAGTAAACTTTCTCCTTAAGAGAGTCCCATTGGCATTGCATTTTTTGCCATGTTGTTTTGACAATACTCGCATAATTGTGCGACCAATCTCTTGTTGATCATACCCTAGGGTTAGTCTGAGTAATTTTAAAAATACATTCAGTTTATCTATCAGTGTGGCCACCATCTGGTAATTTACCAACGGATTCGTGGATTCGTTATGTGCACAGGGTTGTGTACTGTACACAAGAGGTTGTGACAACGCTGAAAGAGTCTGCACACAAATTTTACTGAATGGTTTTTACACCCGGCACCTCACGCTCGCTGCATCACTAGCCTGGTGCCTCAGACAGCTCGCCTACAATGTCAGTGGAGCCGAGACAAGACACTCGCGTTGTGTTGGCGCACCAAATGTGTGTATGTGTGTGTAGACAAAAGTGTACCTAGCAATCAAAGTGGTTCACATATTCCTGTCTTACGGTGATTTCAACGACGAAACTCCTGTGCATTTCTAACTTACTGGTGGCTGAAAAGTTAGTAACTACGTATTTTTCAGTTATTTTAAACTGACAGCTCCTCCTCCTCCTGGGCTTTACTGCTTAACCAGACAAACAAAGATTTAAACAGGTTTTCAGATTATACATCAATATATAGTTATTAAACCGCAAGTGAGACAAAATCTTGCTGAATTTATTCAAAGACATTGTATTCATAATAGTAACAATTAACGCCATCGTATCCCAATTGCGTAGATCGATGCTTATGATGTTGATCACTGGATTGTCTGGTTCAGATTGTATTACTTACAGGGCGCTGCTGACATATTGCTAAGTGTGGTGTTAAACAACAAAGTAATAATTCAGAATTATTTCAGAATTTTCAAGCCGATGGTTTGAAATAAATTTTAAAAAACTAAGTAATGTTTACTAAAAGTGATTTGCCAAGTTTCACTTGCCAAGAGTAGGGGAATGCATTTGCTACACTTTCGAATGTTCTTTACACAACCTGCTACTGGCGAGGCAGGTACGCCTCTTGCGTCCATGAACATATTCATCCAAGGGCTGGTGTGGTCATTGTAAAACCACCATCGGCTCTAAAACACTCTCCAGTTACAAAGCCTGCTTTCTCTGAGGCTAGGAAGGCCACAATGTGACCCATTTCTTCTGGTGGACACGCTCGACCAAGTGGAGTCGCTTTTATCATAATTTTCCCCAACTGAAAAGGAGAGTGTGAATAAATGAGTGAAAGAATGAGGTATATGAGCTACAATCAGAGAGTGCTTTAGGTGCTTGAACTACACTGTTACCAAGCTAATCCCCATCCAGTAGTATTTACTGTAGAAGGCGCCTTAAAGGATCGGGTGGTCAGGTTCGTACTCATTTGCTATCAATTACACAGGTTTCCAGGGCGGATTTGATGGTTTGAGCGTACTTGCCTGTGCAGCTTGTTCTTTGTCAGCTGTCATAGATTGAATGATTGGAGTGGGTACAAAGCCCGGACTGAAACAACGAAAAGAAGACAGTGAAAACAGCTATTATAACGACCACACCACTCAAAGTGGATATAGAAAGTAAGTTGAATTCAATAGCTACAATGTGCCATATGTGACATAACAATCGCATAGGTAAACGTATATGGACTAATAGCAGGAAACCAAGTATAACATTAGTTTCCCCAACCCGGAACGTAAAACACAATTTAAAAGATCGACGATTTTCTGATACAGTATATAATGGATGATATTCATTTGAAAAAATCTTGTACCACACTTCCTTCCCCAATGTCTGAGACATCTGCTGTGACACGTGCTGATGTGGCTTCCTAAATCTCATAAAACTACTTTCTTTAAGTCGGTTTCAACTGTCTGTGGGATGTCCTCCAAATTGTATATGTGAGTGCGATGGTATTGTACAGTTGCAAGATTTGTGAGATACCTCTGTACGCATTACAATGTATTCTTCTATGAATAAATCCCGAAATGGACAGTTTGTATTTTACATGATTAATAAACCGCTATCGAATACTGGACATGCTGAGTAAGAAACGTTCATTAAGCGTGCAACCGGATGGAATCATGACAAATAAAAACACATCAATATTGTTCTGTGAATAAATCCAGAATCCCATTTTAAAGAAGACATGATGCTTAGTGAATCTCATTTTAAACTGACCTCAAATGAACACAAGCCATATCCCCTCGATATTTAATAGCCATCTTTTCAACATAAATTGTTGTTTTATGTGTACTTACTTGATTGCATTGACACGCACCCCCTTTGAAGCCAATTCTGTGGAAAGAAAGTTTGTACGTTGTTTGCTGTTTAACCACGCTTAGGAATATTTCATGATCTTTTCCCTCTGCCACAGGAAAAGATTATTTGGTCAAATACTCGAATTAAAAAAACTCGAATTATTAAGGAATATATATTACCACGCGAAGCACCTCTTACGTTTTAATGTGTTCACGAAATTACTGATATATGCATTTCCTTCAAATACATTTATATAAAAAATTTTAAGTGAGTAATTTGAGTTACTGGTACTTTGATATTGCACTGCAAATTGCAGTAGCTAACATGAGTGAGGCATCCAACTGTCGCAAAAAGGTTTCACATACTGACCTTGAGCAAGGTATCGTGTAAATGTGTCTAGGGCCACCTTCGACATAACGTAGATACCGCCACCCGGCGTCTGCACATATGATATGTTGAAACGTCCTTGAATGTTATGTGAAAATAACAGCCTGTTCAGTTCTTTTATATAGATATCGAAAATGATGGATAAGTAAGTGTTTCTGAACTTAAAAGGCGACTAATCAGGTGCCACCACAACTAATACTGTCTTTACTCACACAACACTAGTCTTGTTGTGTGGTACCTGTGGCCTGTTCTGAACTCAAATGATCACGGGATGTTTCAAGCAGTTTAATTTTACAGTTGTGAATTATTCTTGTATTTGCTAACATCACACTTACAATTGTACCCGTACCGGCGGTCGAAATATTGATCACGTTTCCTGAAACCAAAAGATATGTTTAGCCTAAACACTAGTGACTATACTCACATAACATGTTCCGGACGAAAGCAAGAACATATTACGTGGCAATCCCCATACAGGTATTAGAATATTGCTATATGTTCTACGTTCCATATTACGTACACTGTTTTCTCTGAAACGAGGAGCTGAACAATTTATGGCGAAACTAACTTTTCCCAGCACATCCGGGATATCCAGTGAATAATTGTTTGTGAGTGTAAATCTTGAGGATTATTTTGTTCAAGATCATTTCGTACCTTTGGTTTCAATCAAATGCGGTGCAGCTAACTGTGTCAAAAACAAAGGTGCCTCCAAGTTTACAGCCATCGTTTTGTCGTACAGCTCTTTGGTAGTTGATTGCAGCGGAAACATGCCTAGAGATACCCCGGCATTGTTCACCTAAACACAGATATGATACCATATGTTTGTTTGTTCACGTAAACATAGACACATGATACAGCTTATTTGTTTGTGGTCTGATTGAACGCCACACTCTATTATCAATAATAATAATCTGTAAATATTCGAGTCCAGTGAGTGGACAACGAAGGACAGACAAATAATTATATTTTCACGGATTTGAATTTAAAACTTAGTAATTTAGTAATTAAATCTAAAACAGTTTAACTATAGATGACATTACAAGGTAAAACCAGGCTATATATTGACAACAACGGAAGGTAGATCACCATACTAGGGACCATGGGGACTTACAGTACATTTGCTTCCTGCATGGACCCCAGCTGGATTTACACCATCCCTTCAGCTATTAGCAATGTTAGATAATCCAGACACGTATTAAACGAACATATATTCTACGACTAAAATGGTAGTAGGTTTAGATTTACGTTGAATGGTTTGGGACTTACGTACCCTCTCATGAGGACAATACTTTTACAGTACTTTAACCCCCTTTGAGGGTACAGCCACTGGCAATCAAAGTTACTAATCTAAACTACATGTCATTAAAATACATCTATCTACAGAACATTTTAATCAAAATTCATTAATCAAATCAATTTCCTGTAAAAAAACAAGAATTAAATGAACATGGACAGTATTAAACAGATCCTTAACAGTCCGTTAACATATCCGTTAACATTGAAATATTTATCCCTTATGAGGGAGAATTCAACACAGTTAAGCAAGAGATGTTTGACTGTGATTCTCTCATCACATGGGAATCAAAACGGAGGATCTTCCCCTTTTAACAAATATTAGTGAGTATAACGCGTATGGCCAATGCGACATCGTCGCATAATGACCTCCTCAAATCTGGAGTGACAACCCAAGTAGGTGTAACCAATATAAGGTTTTATGTCACGTAATATATGTAATACCTGGGTGTGCGATATCTTCTGCGTAAGATCACGGATGTAAGTTCTAATGCTAGCTTTGTAATCAGAGTATGGGACAAGAAGTGGTGTCACAGATTTATTGAGTGCTGCCTTAACAGCAAGATCGGCCATGGTGTTCCCAGAAATGCCAACGTGGCTGGGTAGCCAACAAAAAGTTTTTTGAGAGCCTGAAGGCAAGAAAGAGAGTCTGAAAAGATTATATATTGTTTATATTTAGGGTTTCTATTTGTGTATTTTAAGGCTGTTAATATGGCATTTGCTTCTGCTGTGAAAATAGAGCTGCAATCGAGAAGAAATTGTTCTGGATCCAATGACAGTGGCACAAGCAACTGCGCCACCATCCTTGGATCCATCTGTAAATAAGGATGCATATGGACTTTAGTTATTTCTTAATTGATTAAATTCTTGTTTATATTGTAAGTCTTTAGTTTCTGATTTTTAAATGTAGTTAATGTTAGGTCAACTTGTGGCCTAACCAACTGCCAAGGAGGAGAAGAAAGAGGACGAGAAGGAGATATATTGTCTAGCTCAATGCCAGCAGCAGAAAGGAAAGGTTTGCCTCTTGGTCCTAGTGGCGGAACAAGAAAAAACTTTTCGTTGTACAGATCCTCATAAAGAGGATTAAACATACACAGTTAAAGACAGGGTTTGACTCGTTAGAATATAGTTTTGTGACACATTGTAATGATAATTTAATACGGCGCTGTGTACGAGATGGTTCATCTGCCTCGACGTAGAGACTGTCAACGGGAGAAGTTCTAAAGGACCAAAGACAAAGTCTCTGACCTTGGTGGTGGATAGAGTGTAATAGTGTTAGGTTGCTTTTACAGGCTCCACCATATATCATGAATCCGTAATCTAGTTTCCAATGGATAAGCGATCTGTATAAGTGAAGCATGGTAGTTAGACCCCCTCCCCATTTTGAACTTGAAACAACTTTTAACAAGTCGAGTGCCTTCAGGTATTTAGCTTTACGGGATTTAATATGTTACAGGGAAGTTAAATCGGAATCGAAAATTAGGCCAAAGAATTTGGACTCCTTTACAACTTTGACGGGAGTGCCATTTAAAGATAGATCTGGGTCTTTATGAGGCTTATATTTTCTACAAAAATGTATACAATTAGTTATTGATTTAGAAACTTTAAAGCCGTTTTCAAGACACCATTTATTGATTTTGTTTAGAAACAACTGCAATTGCCGTTCAATAGTATACATATTTTTACCGCGACAAGAAATATTAAAATCATCAACAAAAAGTGATCCATCACTTGAATCATTTAAAACCTTGGATAAACTGTTGATCTTAATACTAAACAATGTGACAGACAAAATACTGCCTTGTGGGACACCCTGATCCAGATTGTTTTGGTCAGACAGGGTTGAACCCTGAAAGAATGACACTGCGTGTTGTTTATTAATTATGGCATTCTTAACAAAAGATACTTAACGCACTAAATGATCGATAGTACTTCTGTTTTTATGGAAACCACATTGTATATCTGTTATCATGTTATTGGTTTCCAAGTACCAAACAAGTCGATTATTTATCATGTGTTCCATGGTCTTGCAAACGCAGCTAGTTAGTGAAATGGGCCTATAATTGAAAGGATCAGTGTGATCACGTCCAGGTTTAGGGATGGGAACAATTATAGCATCACGCCAGGACGAAGGAAAATGTCCAGACGTCCAAATATCATCAAACATGTTCAAGAGGGTCTCTAAACATGATTCAGGTAAGTGCTTCAGGGGTTGATAATGTACGTTATCAGGTCCTGTAGCAGTATCACGACCCTGGTCAAGAGCAGTACGGAGTTCATGAATCGAAAATACTTCATTGGAATCTTCCCAATTATCTGAATTGAAATTTAAAGTTTTCTTTTCTTGGTTTTATTTTTTATATTTTTGGAATTGAGGTACATAATTCGATGAGAACGAGTGTCTGGCCAAAGTTTCTCCAAATTTATTTGCAAATCGGATTTACTTATTAATAACTCGTCTCCGTCTTCAAGGTGCCTAGTGCTAGATTGAGAGCCCTTGCCTTTGATTTTCTGGATCATGTTCCATACTTTTGATATCGGCGTACGTGAATTCATTTTCAATGCATAGTTTCGCCAAGATTTTTTTCTCAGCCTTTTTCCGTGGTTCCCTAGCCTGTTTGCAGTCATCGTTGAACCATGGTTTTCGTATGTGTGGATTTGCAGAGGTCTTTGGAATGGATTCATCGGCTATTTTGTTTAGTTCATCAGAAATAGTTTAACAGGGTCAGGAGCTCCCATAAACAGATGAAAGTGATTCAAACAAAAGCCAGTCAGCTTTAGTAAAGTTTCTTCTCGACAATGGAGGGACGTCAGATGGACATATAGCTTTGAGAATGCTTGGAAAATGGTCACTTCCACACAGGTCGTCATGGACTGACCATTCAAACTCACTCAGCAGATTAGAGTCAGTGATGGATAAGTCAAGGGAAGAGTATGTTCCTGTACCAGGATGTAAATAAGTTTTAGATAGAGATAGATATTGTTGGTAGAAATAAAATGTTCCAGTACGTTCCCTTTGCTGTTCGTATGTGCACCTCCCCACAGGGGGTTGTGTCCATTCAAATAACCCATGAAGATACAGGGCTTAGGAAGTTGGTCATGCGGTGCCTGAAGATCGACAGGCTGCACAGAAGAAGAAGGAGGAAGATAGAGTGAGCACACTGGAAAGACAATGTGCATGGTTACACGGACATCAACAGCTTTTTGATGGGTTTTAGAGGAACAGGACTGTGAAGTATGCCTAGTCTCATTAATATTGAAGACTCCCAGTTGCTTTCGGTCCTGGAGGGAGACAAGCAGTTGTATGGAGTACACTGTCTTATAGAAATTCGATCGTTTTCTTTAAAATACGTTTCTTGTAAACAAAATGTCGATGGCTGAAAATCTTGTATAAGTAAGTGTATATCATTAAAACTGTTCTTCAGTCCTCTACAATTACACTGAATAATGGTACTGGAGCTGTTCATGGAGGCTTAACTGGAGATTGTGATTGGGAGGAGTGTTCACTCCTATTGATTGTTTGTAAAGGAGTGACGTCCATCTCCAGAGGCTCATATGAGTGTAAGAACAGGAATGGGCGTCTTCACGTAAGTGAGAGCCTTTTTTCCTTTTTGCAATTTTTTTTTCTCTTTTCTAGTTCAATTTGCATCATCGACAGGTGTACTTTCCATTGAGTCAGTTGGTACATCACTGGTGGTATTGTCCGTTTGTAAAGTTGTTGATTTCAGACTACCTTTCTGAGATATTTCAGTGGACTGCAGCAGTACAGTCTGATCGTCCTTGACCCAGGAGATGTTGGTCTGACACGAAACAGAGACTGTCTTGCAAACTGGAGTGGAGGATGCAATTGCTGCGGAATATTGTTTTTACATAAGTTTGAGCAGAAGATGGAACTAGTGTTTTTGCTTCTTGGTAGGTGATGTTATTTGTATTTTTAATTTGTAGTATTTGGGCTTCAAATTCAAAAGATTGACAGGATTTAGAAGATGCTATGTGATCTCCGTTGCAGTTGGCACATTTGATGTCATGTGTGCACTCAGAGCTAGTATGGGCTCCACCGCAATGGCAGCATACTGCCATCTTGCTTCGGCAGAACTTTGCGCCATGACCACACTTTTGACACTTAAAACATCGGAGTAGATACATCGGTACATAGACCTCCACCCCGATGTTGAAATATCCAGCCTTTAGTGATTTGGGTATTGCAGGTTGAGAAAAAGTGAAAAGATAGGTGTGTGATTTAACAAAGGTACCATCTTGAGTTTTTCTGGAAACACGTTTTACATCTGTAACTCCTTGAGCTTTTAATTCAACAGCAAATTCCTCCTCGCTCATGTCAGAAAGACAGCCAGCAACATCTCTGACAATGCCTCTGCTAGTGTTTAGTGTCTTGTGCTCCGAAACAACAACAGGAGTATTAACAAACTGTTGTAAGCCCAACAGATTGACTGATTGTTGTGTCCGTACACATTCCACCAGCAAGGCACCAGTCGGTAGTCGTTCGACATTCTCCACAGACACCTCTAATGCCCACTGAGATAGCAAATGGTTTAAGTTTTAATGGGCTTCAATCAATTGACGCAATTACGATGTTTTGGGGCCAAGAATCTGAAATCTCTGGAGCGACCTCCTCATCAGACGAGAGCACATCTACATGTCTGCGTTTACTTGCTTTGGATGAACCAGGTGAATTGTATTGAGACATGGTAAAATATAAGAATTCAGCACCCCTGCTCCCCACCCACCATAGAGAGTCAACAAGGACGGTGTCAATTTGCACCGGATCTCCAGGATGCTAACACCAGGGAATACAGGGGTGTTATACTCAAGTAAATATGACGTGAATAGCTAAATTCGTCTAATAGATTAGTTGTCAGGCCGGTTGGCCCATAACAAAAATCTAAAGACATATAGAATTCAGTGGTCAACATCATCAGACTGGCCCATGAGCCACCGCCTTCTGGCATAGGACTTTAGGCAATTTAATATAATCAATATTTTTTACACAATAAATCAAAATACCCAAGACCCAATGATAATTTGAATCTGCAAATATAATCGCCATGCACAGGGCTGGCGTGACCAGCCGATTGATAGAACTGGGCCAGTTCTAGGTGGAGTAAGGGCCAAAGTGGTGTGTTGGGCAAAAGGAACACGGTTCCAGGATCTTTTGCCCTCAACCACCAGACTCCCGTCCTCCACCGACACAGGGGCCCAACCCACGGCAAACGGGTTGGTGGACCAAATATACCCCCGGTCCACAACGGGGGTTTGAAGAGCTCTCAGCGTTACTCAGCACCCACCACGAGGAGGTGGCTCTTCACGGGTCCCTATTCGAGTCCAGATTTGTCTACAATTGCTAACATCTGACGGGATGGTGTAACTCCGGCTTTTTCAAGTAGTTGCATCTTCTGCTGGCAGTGTATCGTTGAACACATGACTAAAAGGCACCCTGGAAACCAAATCAGCAGGAGCATCGCATGGACGTTGGGAATCTGATGTGATGCCCAGAAACCCGTGTTAGTTCAGACAGGCGATTTAATGGATCGAGTGGTTAGACCCGGTGACTTTGGTACATACTTTCACAGTATCCCTACGGAGGGATCGTTGCTTAAACAATATATCACAGTATTTTCTGGTTCTGCAACTGCCGTAAACGATATTGTGAATAGCCAATATAGTGGTGCATTCATTGATGAAACTGTAGATGCATTATCTATCTTATTATTTGCGGACGACGTCGCCATATTTGGAGATAGTGTCATAAACTTGCAGAAGAAAATAGATGTTCTTGATACATATGGCACAAAATGGGGACTGTCGATTAATACTGAAAAGACTAAGATTATTGTATTTAAAAAAGGTGGTGGACTTCCAAAAAATGAAAAATGGTTTATTGTCTCTGAAAGATTGGAATCTGTTTCCTATTACAAATCTCTCGGAATGGTGTTTTCATGCCGGAACCTTTTTTCAAGAGCTTGTGAGGTTCTGTGTAAACAAGCCGAGAAGGCGTTTTATCCTATTCAAAAATTTATATGTCGATTTAAATCTCATCTCCCAGATACATGCCTTAAGATCTTTGATGGCAAAAATATTCAACCAATCTTGCTCTACGGCTCAGAAATTTGGGGAACAATGTATCGTCATAACATTGAAAAGGTCCACTCTAAGTTTTGCAAATTTGACCTACGAGTTGGTTATCGCTCTTCTAATAAAGCTGTTTCAGCGGAATGTGGAAGATATCCACTTCAAGTCAATTATAAAACAAGACATATATCATACTGGTTACGACTACTTAGCCAGCCGGCCACAAGACATTCTAAACGTTGCTATAATATGATGAAAAATCTAGATGATAATGGAGATACTAACTGGACCTCCTCAGTTAGAACATTGTTATTTCAATACGGTTATGCACATGTATGGATCCATCAAACAGTTGGAGATCCTAATATGTTCTTAAAGCTATACAAACAACGCTGTAGAGCTATATATTACCAAGAATGGTCATCCGATATTGCAAGCTCCAAATAATTGTATCCATATTCACTATTCAAACATGACATTGTCTATGAAACATATTTAAAAGTATTATCCTCTATGCAACTCCGCAGATCTCTTACAAAATTTAGATGTTGCATCAGTAAACTGAATGTACAAACCTATAGAAAATCCAGAGATGATGATATCAGTTCTGCCATGTGCGCCCATTGCGTCAATATTGTCCAGGACGAGTACCATGTTCTATTACAATGTCCTGTTTATTCTGATTTACGCATCAGGTACATACCACACTATTATTGTGTAAATCCCAACATGCAGAAGTTTGTAACTTTACTTAATACCCAAAATGCCAATGTTATTTTACGCCTAGCCATATTTGTAAACAAAATCCATAACGTTTTATGATACTTATAAATGCCAGTGTACTTCTCATGCCAGCGCTCCAAAGAACATGATGTAAAAATGTCACTGTACTTATGTCTGTCTGGTACAGAAGTTATAAATAAATATGGCAATAATAACAACACACTGTAATTTTTTACACCTAATTTGGTGTGTTGCCGTGGAATGACGACAATCCTCGATTTTTTTTAGAACATTTTAGTTACTTTTCTAACGTTTTTTATACGATAGTGGTTGCAGCTTAGTTACTTTTCTAACGTTTTTCATACGCGAGGGTATGCGGCTTGGGTGGTTCATGTTCGACCTCAAAGGATCTGGAAACAGCGATGGTTGATTGTATTGTAAATCTTCCCGACCCTACGGTCTTGAAATCTTAGACCCCAAAATCTATAGTTCCTTAATTCATTTTAGTTCCTTAATATAATTTAAGGTATTGGAAATCATCTCAAGCTTGTTTTAAATGAAAGTGGCCGCAGATGCTACTTGCCGCCATTGGTACGCTGTTGCAGATGACAGACACTGCAATCGGGCAAATACATTTAGTTGTGAGAAACAAGTTCAACTTTCTTGTGTGTAATTTATACTTTAATTGATGGAATCACTTTCGTGTGACAAAAACATAAGGAAATTACAATCAGTTGAAATTTTCATTTATTAATTTTGTTTATACTAGAATATTTGCATATCCTGGCCAGACATATCCATATCCTGGGTGTCGAACACATCTCGCGAATAATCCACTTTTTTGTAGGTTTATTGAAATATAAACGTTAAACATGTTTTGTGAACCAATCATAAGCGATGTAATCAATGGCAGTGGATATATATGCAGATTTTCTTCTGTAGTACCTGAAATATACTCACCAGAATGTCTATTTTCCCGAACTTCTTCTTGGTTGACTCTACGAGAGTCCTTCTGACAGCATCCTGGGTGATGTCACCCACGTTTGTGAGAACATCCTGAAATTGAAAGTTGATCAACCTGATAAATCAAATACTTCAATAAGATGTGATGTTCTTCCATTTGGCAGAGACGAAGGATAGTTAGTGACTATTTGGGGCACTACTTTTGTGACAAGATTGGAAACTGAACAAATTTCTGTTTGCAGATCACTTGCATAACGTAAATGAATCGCGGCGCCTTGGATAAATTAAGGTATGCTTTAATGTATGGAATAGTAACAGGTGAGTTTGATCAGATCCTGATATCTCTGTTGCTTTCTGCTCACCTGACAGCCCGCCTTCTTGCAGTTCTTGACCACTTCCTCCAAATTCTTCTGGTTCCTACCAGTCAAGGACAGTTTGGCTCCTTCCTTCGAAAAAGCTATAGCAATTCCTGCCCCAATTCCTGAACTGGAACCTAAAACATAGATTGTGTTCAAACGTGCAAACAATTCCAGTTCCTTTTGGAATGTGTTCTCTTATTGTTTTTACTTGTGCATGTTTATCTTTTTATTGTATTTATTACATCAGTTATAAACACTTACTATCCATATATGTATGGGCGCTATCAAAAGACCTTTGAATACATGTACACTTTGTTTATGAAACTTGCTTATTTCAAGGAATGTAATGGAATTAGACTCCAGATTTCAATGCCATATTCAACTTTCAGAATCAGGCATCCTTCTGTATCTTGATGAGGGCACGACTGAGTAATAACAACATGTAGTCCTAAAACATTGGAACAATACTCAGCCAGTTCTCACAGTGAATAGGTAAGGATATAGATGATAGGTCGTTACATGAAAAGAATGTCCTGCAGCTGAAAGGAACAGCTGTAGGAAAATCCCAAGAGTGACAATATCAGCACTGGCAGCAGCCGGACAAAGAAGCCCCACAGCAACAGCAATTCATGGCAGGTACTTATTTGGAATGAACGTGAGACATTATGGAAAGGCCACGACGCATCTAAGTCTCACAAACAACATCATCAGATGAAATACACAATGCCACATATGTTATATTTTGGGATTACACTTTCTTATAAAGTACAAATTCTAGTACTTTTTGAGTTGAGCCCCATCCGGGATTCGAACTCACACCCTCAGACTCAGGCACCTATTCGTCAGCACAAAACGTCAGCCGCCTAATCCGCTCAGCTACCGCGACTTCCACAAAAATGGAAGTCGGACAACTGGTAGTCTAGACTGCGGACTTTGTGTACCCCTATGATGGATATTAATTGGCACGGCTCCCACGGCCGAAAGCTATGAAATACACAATGCCATTCAGAAAGTGGTCAAATATAACATATGTTAATCATCAGATGTCTTACTACCACTATTAGAACCTTCACAGTAACAAACAAACAACGTCACTTGCACCATACACATCAGAGAAGCCTCAAGAACTCAAGCACAATCAAACAAACACCAACAGCCCCATAAACAACATCAGAAACAGGACCTGAAATAATACCAGCTGTACACAAAGAATGTGACCAGCGGCACTAACCAGGGGAAGACAAACAAACAAAACCAGAAGCACCATGATAGCAAACAACATCAACAACAACATTACATTTGTATTTCCTTCTGTACACAGAATGTGTCACAAGCATAAAATACATGCCATTCATCTTCAACTATAAGAATATTCTTGGATTTACATGATTACAAATACCTCCCTACAAAAGTTCTAACTTAAAATTACAACATCTAAGTTTTAGAAAAAAGATTTCTTAAGATATTGACGAAGGTCCCTAATAGATGAATTTGCTATAATAAAACATTTACGGCTTGACTGTATAGCTGCAGACCAGGATTGAATTATCATACAATCATTACTTGTCAAAAGCTGTTGGTGCTGAATTTCCTGACTAATCCAGGCAAAGCCAAATCCATGCAGAAATCGAATACTTTTTGTGGTTGTCGTCCATGAACTCTGACCTACATTTTCTAAAGATAAAAGCCCAAAATAACATTGAAATTGGTAACTAATTATTAGGCATATACAGTATCTACACCCATATTTATTATCCTTAGTCATATATACAAATTGCAAAGGCACTATTTCATATTCACCTGAAAACATAATGTTACAAGTAGATTTCCAACATTTAATACAGAAAATTTAATGTGGGACAGATTCAATGGTATTACAAAATTAAGTGACCCAAATGTCTTATCCATTGCATAGTATAGGTGTGATCATACAATCAAACAGCTTAAATAAATCTGCACAATTAAAATTAACCTAATTTCCTTTGAAAGATTTTGACAGAAAAAGTTGATTTATTGGCCGTATACCATCATAAAACCATTTTTCTTAAGACCTCAAAGGGCCACGATTTGTATAAACAATAATTTTAGTTTTCTTTAAGTTCACATTCATACCAGTTTGTTCACAAAATGATTCGATCACAGTATTTTTCTTTGCAGCAGTACACAAGTATCATAGATAGCTGAGACATCAGCAGCAAACATGAGTGAACAACTATTATTCATAGATGATTTAACTGTTATACCTTGCCCACCATCACGTTCCATCATAGTACATAGCTTGTATTTTAAAATGATTAAACATTGTGAACTTAATAACACATCTTTGGCGACTGCCATTAGTACATGAAAACATTTTGGTAAGCCAGTTGGTGTTCTAACACAAGCAGATAAACAGTTATACATAGATGGTATTCTTGAAACAACCCACCCTTAATGCCAACCTCATCTAGAGCCTGTAAAAGTACATCATGTTTTAAAGCATCAAATACCTTAGAAAAATCTATAAACAAGCAGTAAATATACTGAGAGGCAATAAAAACGCATATGAGGAAGAAATGTCAGATATATTTCTCATATGTCCAAAATTTACATATGGCGGTACAGGAAAAGGCATTGTGATAACTTGTAAACAATACTGCATTGTTTACAGAGGATTACGGATGCAACAATGTCTTTGTGCGCATCTCCAAAACAAATGGTATGAGAACACACAACTGTCAGATGACACATTTCAATACCGTGTGTCCTCCTAGGGCAGCGATGCAATCCAGTAGTCTGACAGGCATTGACAAGGACAATCTCCGAATCAAAGCTTGTGGAACGGCTCTCCAGTGAAACTGCAAAGCTTGTGTCAACTCAGCTACAGTTTGGGGAGTATTCAACTTACGTCTCACACGGCGCCCAAGTTCATCCCACAAATGTTCGATCGGATTAAAATAAGGTGATCGCGAGGGCCAGTTCAAGACATCCACATTGTTCTGATGCAAAAAGTCCTGTGTTATTCTAGCCGTATGTGGCCTGTCATTGTCGTGTTGGAACACGAGGCGATGTCGTCCGTGTCGACCCATCAATGGCAGAAGCACTATTGGCAACACGTTGTCAATGTAACGTCGGGCGTTGAGGTTCCCTTGAAGAACAGCCAGTCAGAGCGGAAGTTGACGTTAATTGTCCCCCATACCATAACTCCACCACCACCAAAGCGATCACGCTCAGTGACACAAGGCTGAGCAAAACGTTCATGATTACGGCGATAGACACGTAGCCGACCATCAGGGAAACTGACGTTGAAACGTGATTCATCTGTGAAGATGACATCTCGCCACTGTCTAGCACCAAGATAGCCTCCAGCAGCTGCCCAACGTTGACGATTTAGGCGATGTGCATGGGTGAGGGTATGTCCACGATAGGGTCGACGACATCGGATGTGACGTGCAGCAAGGCGACGGCGTACTGTCCGGTCACTGATGGAACGTCCTCTAGTTCCTATCGTGGCATTTGCAGTCTCTCGTGCAGACTTGAAGCGATTCCGAAGATGACTAACGACGATGTACCGAGCCTGCCTTTGTGACGTCACACGAGGTGCTCCCGGGCGTGGATGGTCTTGGACACTTCCTGTTGCCCTATGACATAGCTGTAGCCTCGAAAGGATCGTCTGGTGGACTAGGAAGTGATTAGCAACATCACTCTGTGTTTGGCCAGCATGCAGCATTCCAATTGCTTGGTTCCTTTGGGCGTTGGTCAACCGTGGCATCGTGAATGTGAATGAAAGCCATTTCTCAACCTGTGCTTTTATGGGAGCTGAGTGTGCACATTGCACGTGCACCATGGTTTTCTGTTCATCCAACTGCATTGTCATCGCACATGCTCTTGGGTGCGTTTGAGATGTCACGTCCCTGTGATTTGAAAACGTGGGATTCGAACCTAAACATCAGAGCTGTGCATTTCTTAACCATATGTTTTCACCATATTGTAGTTTTGGAATCAGAAACATCTCTAAAACGCCTTTTTCTAATGTATTTCTCAACTAAGGACTGCAAGGAAACTATGTGATCAACGGGAGAGTAATTAGCCCTCAAACCAGCTTATGATTTTCTAATGATATTATGTACATCTCACCATACTTGAAGGCGTCTATTCATATTAGACATAACTATCTTACGAATGGAATCTACGAGTGAAATAATGTGTTTGGATCACTTTTGAAAACCGGACTTAAATTTAGGACAAATGATACTATCACGCCAAGAGTTAGGAAACCTACCACGTATAAAAAATAAAACACAAAAGCTGAGTAAGATATGGAACAATAAGGTGTCTACAAGCCTTCAAGAACTCGGAAGCTACAGCATCTGTGCCCTGGAGATTGATTATGTGCTGCACTAGCTGATGCTATGGGATAAACCTTCCTGCTCAGTAATTGGATGATTAAGACCTACTAACATCTCTGGTCAAAAATCGACAGCAGATGTCTCTACCGGAATAAAGTGACATGTTTCTTTGATACATAAACGTGACATGAAATGCTCGACCCACTGCACATTAGAAATTGAATGTGAAATACCATCAAAACTATTACATTTTTTAAGAATTGTCCAGAAGAGTTTTGAGTCCTTGCTTGCTTCAACTAGCTTCTCCTTCAGCGTACTGAAATAATCCTACCTTTTACCTTTAAATACATTCTTAAAACTTATCCTCAAAACTCTAAATACATCCAGACTCGGATTAAAATCTCTGTGAGATCTACGAACTCAATATTTACATTGTTTCAAGTCCTCTAACTCCCTATCCCCAACGGAGGTTGCTGATCTTGGTTGCAATTATCTGTAAACCTGACAGTGTTTATAAATACAATCATTTAAATTGAAACGGAGCCCCAGTGAGTTGGGAGATTAATGACCTGGAAAACCCTAGGAGTGCTTCATTCGGGCCTTCAGCATTGCAGGGAGGGCTGGTCAGTGGGGAAAATGATGTAGTTCAGGGACTGTTAGACAGACAAGATTTGCATCCCTTGCCTTATCACCACTCCCGCATGCAACAGATGTAAACAAATTAGCACGCGTGTTAACTTCTTGTCACTGCATATCTGAAGCCTGTGGGGGGATCCTCGTGAGGAATATCCGCTCTTCGTCCCGATACACACAATAACCTCCTTCTCCCGACCATACATGTCCACAGATCCATCAATAATAAGTTTGTTTTGTTGCACCATAGAGAGAGGGAGCGTCTGTCCTCGCCCACTCGTTGAGTAAGGTCCTAGGTCACACACTGGCCGATTTTCTCCCGCTGTTTCAAAACACGTCTGACGTACGCGCAACAACATAGCAAAGCAAGTTTAATTTAGATTCCACTAGGTTATCAGATACTCAAATAAACCTAATCGTATGCTGGTCCACATCAGAAACAGGTCCTGAAATAGTATTACTTGTTGACATGCTAACAGTGGGGGATTCACATGCATAAGAAACAGATGCTTTATACATATTAAACAACTAACAATCTCACCTGTAATGATAGCAACTTTTCCTCTCAGCGCCATTTCAACAGGAGGTGACTGGTTCAGCAAGTGTGCTTCTTCGAGACTCAGTGTCCTGTAATACCTTGCACGGCGACAGGTGACTGTATATGTGCAGCTAGAATGGGTTGAGTTAAATATAACAGTGAAAATGCATGCGCAGACTTAATTGTACCTTTGCACCCTGTGTTATGATGCAACGCCAACATTATGACTCAGCAATGCAGCTCTATTCAATGACTTGCAGTTTTGTAATCTTCAAAGACAAATCCACCCTTCAACTGCTATGAAGTTATGCACAAATTTGGCGTATTTTAATGCATTATGATTGAAGACTGTCCCCATATACAGCTTACATTGCTCACCCAGAGAGGATGCATTCTAGATATTGTATGTAAGGACAATGAATCAACCTATCGTGGCTTTGTATATTCATTAACAATTATCAACCTGTTTGTCCACATTTTATGTATCCATGGTACATTTACACCCCATTTTCTGTTATCCATGGTATAGCTACACCCGACTTTCTGTTGCCATGATATATCTACATCCGCCTTCTGTTACCCGTGGTATATCTACACCCGACTTTCTGTTACCATGATATATATACATCCGACTTTCTCTTACCCATGGTACATCAACATGATACTTTCTCTTACCCATGGTACATCTGCATCCTACTTTCTGTTTCTCCTGGTATATCTACACCCGACATTATGTTACCCATGATATATCTACACCCGACTTTCTGTATTCGTGATATATCTTCTTTTTGTTACCCATAGTGATTCTACAGCCTTCTTTCTGTTACCCATGGTTTAATTACGCCCGACTTTCTGTTACCTATGGTATATCTACAATGCCGATTTTCAGTAAATAATAGAGTCTCGACCAGACAATCCAGTGATCAACATCATGACCATCGATTTACGCAGTTTGGATTGGATGACTTTCATCAACGGAGTCAGCGAGTCTGACCACCCGATCCCGTTAGTCGCCTCCTACAGCAATCAAGGGATGCTGTAGATCAATTCCAACGACATCTGTCATGCATGCTAGATCTACAAACGACGAAGTTCTGCGATGATAGACATAAAGTCAACCAGGCAATATCTACTCAAGATATTTTGTTTAACGACACGCTTCAATACTCGGACTACATGGAATATCACTTGAGTTCTAGACGTTTAAAATATATTGGGCATACTTTAATATTAATAATAGGTACATGTGTGTGTGTGTGTGTGTGTGTGTGTGTGTGTGTGTGTGTGTGTGTGTGTGTGTGTGTGTGTGTTTTAACCTAATATCAAACGCAAGTTTTGAGTGAATTTCCAATTACGCAAGTGCTTCGTCCTTGTGTCCCCGTGAGAATGTTTAGCTTGTAACTGACGTTTGTCGCGTGTCCCACGGCTGTGGCAAGGCGATCTCGACTTGTCTCGAGCACCCGTGTTATCACAGTGATTCATTCCCGGGAGGTCGTCCCGAACAAGTATTTATCATGACTATGGAGTTCGGGGCTTTGGTTACTGAAGAATATTAGGGATATGGTCACAATAAGTAAATAGTCATGGCATCAACTTAAGTCATTTATTCATTGTGTAACCATGTCCAAGCAATCATGTTGTTGTTAACATATTGGGCTGCCAGTAACAGTAGAGTCACGTTAAATTATTGCCTTTTGGTGTGTACTATACGTGTCACATATTCCAGCTTAGATTCCTAGAAAATACCACACCTAAATATCTATAAGATGAGACACATTCAATAAGATTGCCATCAAAATACCATATTTCGCCCCTCGAAAGAACGCCGCCGTTTTTTAAGACAACCACTTTAGCTTTATTTAAATTTACAGTTACATTTTATTGGCGACAATACTGTTGTAACACGTTAATTCGATTTTGTAACCCTCCAATATATAGAGTCAGATGTAAGAACGACGTCATCCGCAAACAGTAATAAGAATAGATGAGTCTGGATGTAATGAATGGCAGGATAACATGAACTTTCTATTTCATCAGAAATAATGACTGACGAGATCGTGATCATGTTAGAAGAATCTGTGAACTGAGACAACTTGGGCGACCCTTTCAGCTACTGTCCAGCCTTATGAATAACAGGAAAAGCGACACAAACATTACCCTAGATATGTCTTACGTTTACGAAATACTAGTACACATCTCGCATAATTAGATGTGACAATAATTACTAAGAAAAGACTGAGAAATAGACCCAAATGCCAGTTCACATAGTTTACACTTTAAACATTCTTATTGCATATATGTCAAAATCACTTATATGCATCATGACTTAAAGATTAGGGAAAATGACTTATTGACAATACATGATTTATAAACGCTTATTTAAACGTTCGTCATTAATGTGATTGTTGATAAATTAAGCAAAAATTGGTATAAAGATGCAGAGAAATATAACATACGTGTACATGTATATCACAGTGAAACGTTCACTGTAAATGAAGTCCGTTTGGTAAATTTATATTGATCATCGACTGCTGATAATGTATGTGGAATATTTGAGGAAAGACATTTACACATGAAGACGAGAGCCTCAAGTGACACGAGGTTACCTACAAGCAGTCTGTGAAAACGATTGAAAGCAGCTAACCAAAGACAAACCACGCGTGAAAACGACTCTGTGTTTAACAACTGAAGCCTTGGCACCCCATCGGAACAATACCCTGACAATACCAACTCGTTTTAATTTGCCCAAAACATACTGTACACCGAAAACAGCTTATTAAACCTTATTTTTGGAAGAAACCAATCATGTTGAAAGTTTTACTATTATTAACAAACCCATCTAAAGATAGTATTGCAAAATTTTGTAAAACATTAAGTTATGCATGTAAATACCAAAATGTTTTGTCCAGCTTCCTTTGTGAATGTAAAAAAAAATATATTTATGTATATTTTAATGGATAACCATATTCTATCCTGCATGATCCTAAATGATGACGAGAGGCATATAGGCCAAGTCTTTACTGAATAAAGAATCGAATCGATAATGTAAAACAAACTCAAATCAGTATAGCACCAGTTTCAGTTGGTCGCTCGATTAATTTTAGGTATCGAAAGTTCAAATTGATTCTCCGGTTCGTGGTCAGCGTTTCATGAAAGATCAACTGGTCTTTTTCAAGCAGAAGTGGTTCTAACGTGTAGATCAAGGGGCTGTTTAGTCTCGGAGATCAAATGATATTTTTGTTATTCATATGTTAAAATATGACAGTCATTTTCAAACTCAAGAAATATAGACTTGTATTAAAAGACAATTCATAATGCGATGCTGGACAGGGTTTCAATGTTACAAAGTATGTATGTGTTACCATAGTTGCTCATAGCATGAACCACTGCAATCGACAAACATGGAATACCACAGTTGCAAAATAAGACGCTCATACATGAGATCTTAACATTACAAAAATCGGAACAGAGCCAACCAGAGACCACCTTCTGCTCCACCGCTAAACCAGACAAACAAAACCCAGGTTTTCAGACATGTACATCAGTATTTATTCATCCAAATTGGGGCAATATCTTGCAAAATTATTAAATATTTAAAATTAATATGGTATTCATATTAGTCATAATTCGTAATTAGCCTGTAATTACTTCTGTTAAACTATCGTGCGTGTCCTCAGTCTAAACCTTTGATGCTAATTGAATGGATACATAGCCTGGCCGATGTTATGTCGTACATCAGGCATACGTATGCAGGTGAGTTTAGTTTTACGCCGCTTTTACCAATATTCGAGCACGGCGGGGGACATCAGAAACGAACCAGGGCCTTCGGCGTGAAGAGCGAACGCTTAAACCACTAGGCTATCCCACCGCCCTACCTTCTCCTACCCATGATATATTTACACCTGAGTTTCTCTTACCCATGGTATATCTACATCCGCCTTCTGTTACCCATGGTACATCTGCACCCGATTTTCTGTTACCCATGGTAGTGAACATATTTCTTATTTGGGTGTTTGTTGTTTTACGCTGCATTCAGCAGTATTCCAGTTATATGTCAGTGTTTGTACATAATCGAGTCTGGACCACACAACCCAGTGATCAACATCATGAGCATCGATCAATACCAGCGCCTTGAGCATGCACTTTTGCGTGGATATGTGCGCTATATAAATATCCAATAAAAAAATGAGCATCCATCTACCTATTCGGGATTCGATTACATTTATGAACGAAGTCAGCGAGCCTGACCACCGGATCCCGTTAGGCGCCTCTTATGACAGGCAAGGGTTTTTTTCTTATTGGATATTTGTCATCCATGCTACGTATATAACCATTCAATTTCTGCTATGATAGATCTGCACCTGACATAAAATCAACCGCTCAAGATACTCAAGATATTTTGTTTAACGACACACTTCAATACTCGGGCTACATGACACATCACTTGACTTCTAGACGTTTGAAATGTATTGAGCATACTTTAATATTAATGGTGTGTGTGTATTGTAACTTAATATCAACCCAAGTGTTGAGTGAATTTCTCATTGGGCCAGTGCTTCGCCTAAATATCCCAATGTGTATTTTTGGCTTCTCACTGAACAAATTTGTCTGCTGGGTCAGGGTGACCTCGTCTTGTCTCGAGCCCCCGTGTTATCACTAGGCTACCCTATCGTCCATGTATGAAATGATTGCAGTGATATTGTTGTAAGACTTGTAAGATACGTGGGTACCTAGTACAGAATCTATGACTGACTCCCGAAATGGTCAGTATGAAATCAATACCTCTGAAAATATTAATGACCATCTATAGACACCGGACATGATGAAACAGGGTTCAGAAAAATGTTTTCACTGTCATACCAGAACCAATAAGAGATCAAAACGGATGTGATAGAACACATTATGCATATTGATTAGCTTATCGATCTATATACTGAACTCTAATGAATATAAAGGAAACTAGTCCCATTGATATTAATCTTAATAGGCATCTCTTCAACAATTATTGTTTTGCATGCTGTACTTACTTAATTGCATTGACACGTACTCCGTGTGGAACCAGTGGAACCAGGAAATGTTGTCTCCTTCTTATTACACTTCTTTCTATGACATTTCCTCTATAGGCCAAATCTTACGTTCTAGACATTTATGACAATTTGACAAAGCCCATTGCTTCCTATAGGTTTATATAAATTGAG